GGTAGTTATCACCATACAACAAATACAAAAACCCTCCACAAGAAATGAGGACAGAAATGATAACTATAACCTTAGCAGGGTTTACCACAGCCCTGTCCAACGCGGCGCTCGTGGTATATTTTTCTGGCGCCCTCCGTAACCACATATAATTGAGCCGATTTTTAATATTAATTCAACTTGTAAGACAAGAGACATTTTTGAACGTCTGAATACTGTTAAATATTTTCGAAAAATTTTGTTATTATTATTGTTTATTATTATTATTATTAGAAGTAGTAGTAGTAGTAGTAGTAGTAGTAGTAGTAGTAGTAGTAGTAGTGTGGTGGCGCCCGCACCTCCATAGGCATCAGTGAATTGTGCCCGAGTACATATGAACGTTGGACAGCATTGGTTTACCAACTACAATGTGCTGACTGTCCGTTGAAATGCATACAACAAACTAGACGTACTTTTAAAATCGGATTCAGAGAACACATAAGAGACAAAAAATAATGGACTAAACTCCAAATTTGCTCAACATATACTGGACACCACACATGAATATAGCACGATGGACAAAACATTGGAAACTCTATATATCAGCAAGAAAGGCCAAACACTGGATACTTACGAAAGATTTCACATTTACGAAGTCAGCAAACGAAATTTACAACTTAATGATAATTTTACTGAAAATTTTAACCCTATATATGCAACCACTGATACATACCAAACTTAATCTACAGTTATATCTCCCCTTCCACCACATCCTCAAGCATCTCTACCTCTCCCTCCCCCTCCCCTCCCGCCCTTGCATCGACTTCACTTTCAACATACATCACCAAATCAGTTGCTGTTTATATTCTCCAAAGAACGGACAATACATTGTAAGATGAGGCACCTGCTAAACAGTAAGCATCNTATCACGGGCCTCCTAAGCAATTTATTATGTGTACACAAAATCTAGAATATACCACCATGTCCGTGGGTATATAACAAAATTGCAACAACCAACAACTGACTTAATGATAAAAAAATCACATGAAGAATTTTAACCTTATTTTACCCTATAACTTTCGCTTTTATATAGTCTAGTTCATTGTACTTTTTATGCCAAGCATTTTATAATGTAATGATTATCATGTACACGGTTTTACCAGTACTGCAGTTCAGTGGTGTCAATATGTTAATCATGTATTTGTCTGATGATGGCTTTAATAGCCGAAACATGTAAAGTAAAAGTAAAGCTATCCCTGTACCAGGCCGTGAAGGCCCATAGTGTTGTGAGACGTTGAGGGTCCCACATTATCTAGACAATCGGCTCAAAGATGGCGGTAAGGTCGTCAGCCTTAGGCGCCGGCCGCGCTTTACTTCCCAGGAAACATGTAGCTAAGCTAATATTAGCCTTGACCTTGATATTGTTGTGTTGTGACGGATTGTAATAAAGAAATTGTAGATTTCATGATGATCAGTTTGGGCATTCAAGCAATATTAAGGTTATTACCTCAACAACTTGAGAGGCTTCAGTGTTGGTATTACTGATGGTAGGGATTTGTGAAGTATGCCTTGAGATGGCGGTGTGGCATGTAACAGTCCAAACCTTTTAAAACTCTTTAATGGACACTATGTTCCACTTTAGTCATTTTAATAGAGTGACTGATTTATTAGGGAGACCCATCCATTAAGAAGTTATGACATGCTTTTCGCATTTGGACAGGAACCACTGCCTTGTTTTGTTACCTGTAGCTTGGGTGACCGCTAAAGGGTCGAGGCAATTATGAAAAGGCATGTCTGTAGTCTGCCCAAGATGTAAATGTTGTTTTGCTAATAGGGTAGCTGTTATAAAAGTGTCTTTCGAAAGGGTGTAATTAGACCCTAAACTAAGAAATAACCGCTTTTACATGTAGGGTTCCAGGTTCAATATCTTTGGATCTCTTTATTCTATAAGTTAGTAATGTGAGTGTCTAGTACTGATGGTATGATGAATTGGCAGTTAAAATCAGCCATTAGGAAACTATTCTTGTCTGGGAGAAAGGCCGTCGGTTCAAATCCTATACAGTGATGAAGTGACGCTCCCGCAGAATAGAGTAGGCAGAAGCACTTGGCATTCAGAATTCATCAGAGGCAGACATATAGCTGCACTCTCCAAGTATATCTAATTTATCAGTCTATTTGGTTCGATTAATATTTGATAATAATAAAAAGGGGACATTACTCCATACTTGCTAATAGAGATATAGTGTTTGCTTCTGAAATAAACAATTTGTGATTAAGCAGAAAATAGAGTATTTTATTTCTATCAGTGGACTAGCTTTAAATGTGCTGTCTCCCAGTTGACCCAGTTATTACCGTGACACAACCCTGAGAAGAGTCAAAAGTGTTCTACCGAAGCGGGCAAATAAATAAGTCAAGTGTTCTACCCAAGCGGGCAAATAAATAAACATAAAGATAAACGGTCACGAGAATGATATCTGTCTGAGCAGCAAAGCCGGTTTCCACAAAACTGACATTTCACGTCCAGGACACTAGGGCGTGTATGGTTACATACCTGAGTTAAGACTTAAAAGTTTAATTTAATCAAAATCATAGGAGTTGTCTTCACAAAATCATTTTTGTCCCTGAGGCCTCTCTAAAGGGTAATTATTTTTGAAGCTAGAATGCTCGAATTCACTGGGCACCGGCCCATCCATTCAAGCACTAGTGAAGGGCACATATTCATACAAACAGGATGTAGAAAAAATAATGGAATCACTAAGAGATTGATGAATAGAATTTGTGTTGCCTACATTTCAAGAACTTCAGCTGGCAACACTGAACGTTCTTTTTCTGTTTGTTTATACTTTGTAGTGCTCATGGCAGGACATCAGCGAATGTGTTGTGATAGTCCATGTGAAAGAATAGGAAAATTAATCATTCAACATCCACACCCTCATTGTCATCAAGTGTCCTACGAAGTTTTCAATATTTGACTTGCCCTATATCATGTATAATGATCCATGGGTATGAAGTAAGTAAATAAACAAATAAATATCCAAATTGTTTTGTGGGTCACCCTATTTACGTTTTCAGAACAATACTTGCCACTGCAGTGACAGATACTACAATCTCTTAATTTTCAATATCAGTGGAAGAAGTTAAAATCCAGAAGCTTTTACTTCTGTAGGTCTGAAACATATGTGACAGTGTGTTATCATCACAGTGGAAATTGTGTTAAACACACAGGGCTCTTCTTCCATAATTCTGTCTACTCAAGTTATAACATACTCTCAAAGATATTTTGAACAAAATTTACATACGTGTGTATGCTAACCATCAGATCGACAAAAAGATCTGTCAGAATAATGACCACCAGTTGCCTGAAGGTGGGACTAAAATGAAGTCCTGACATATACTTCAACCAGTGATTCTCAGTCTTTACATCTTCCCAACAATGTTTCTCTTCTTACAAGTCTATTTTTACAATTACTTGCATTTTATCATTATATTAAACATAAAAGAAGTTCTCACTTTCAAGACCTCACACCCCACCCAGCCAACCATCAAGTCACACTTGTTGAGAAACAATGCCATCGACAATGGACAATATCTAACACTACAGTGTAACAGAACTAACAAGATTCCAAAAACTTTAACGCTCAGGCTCACTTTAAAATGTTTATTACTTAACATTGGACCTGCATTTATATTACAAAATGGTAAGCTTTCCTGGAAAACACCAGAAAGTCAGCTCTGAGGGTAGTTATTGGGCCTTTCATTTCAACCACAAGCCAAGTTCAATGTCAGCACACAATAGTTAAAAGAGGCAACACTCACCATTTGTGAGTTCTCCTGCTCCCCTGCAACTGCATCTTCAGAATCTGAGCACGAAAATTTCATGACAACAATGGACTCACTGTCTTTTGTTTCTTCACACTGAGTACCAACACTAACACAGAAGGAAGTTTCACTGTTCACTGTTGTTTCTTTTTCTTGGTTAAACTTTAATTCAACTTCTAAATGTGGTTCAGTTTTAACACCTGCCATATTTGTCTCCTTTATTTTAAGTGATTCAAATTTCAAAATAGCTTCACACGAAAATCTGTAAATTCCTTGTAATGGCCAAAAAAACAATTTGCATTTATTACTATTTCCAAAATTGTAACAATTAAAATTGGCATGTAAGTCTTTTAGGATTTTAAAGCAAGCTGGGTGCACACGAACTATAACTCTTCCTGTCACTGCCACAAATATACTGACTTTAGCTTCCGTTAATAAATAAACAGATGACTGGTGAGAGAACAATCCTGCAACAAAAAGATAAACATATCAAGACATTAGTTTTATAATTTGTGTGGGTGGTAATCTTATACTGTTAAAATGGTAGGATCAGAATCATTCTGGAGTTGAAAGACACTTATCTGAAAAACAAATAACCAAGACACATGAAGCGAGTACAGAATGGAGAATATTACAGAGCAATAAACTTCTAGGCAAACTATGGTGACGAAAAATCCCTTAGAAAACAGAACTTCCTGAACTGAAAGAGAGCTGTGATGATAGCACTAAAATGGATCTAAGGGTACAGCTTGTAAGCACACAAACCGGATTTACAGCTGACTCATAATAATAATAATAATAATA